CCACCGCACCTTTAACGAACGGTCATAATGGAAAGTTTCCCCGTTTTATTTTCCATATTATTATTAAGACTTTTCTAAGTTTTCTAATGTTTCAAAAGTCCAAATGATTTCTCTTCAACCCTTTATTTTAGTAGATTTAATAACTAATCGTATACTTTTCTTAGTACTCACCCCATTCAGATTTGGGTCGCGTTGTGCAGGCCGTTATACGCGAATATGAGCGTTTTCCGCCACCTGTAGCAAGTTCTGGCAGTCCAATCAATATTCCAACCCGTTCAGGCAATATCAACACCACAGCAACACCAACAACTGTAGCGGCGAAGTCGCTGGATAGCAGCAAGGAGAATTCACCATTGGATTCGGCAAAATCTTCTAAAACCAATGATAGTAGCTTACCAAATCTATCCACACTATCATTAGATGAGCTGAAGCAGCTGGATAGTGATCCGCAATTTTTCGATGATTTCATTGAAGAGATGTCTGTAGTGCAGCATTTGAATGAGGAGCTTGATTCGATGATCAATCAAGTAGAGATTATATCACGTAAGTGCAAGAGTAGCAAGCGGAAAAATTCGTATGGCTGTTGAACAAATTTGGATATAATATTAATTTCTATTTTATTTACGCAGGGGAAAACGAGTCCAAGGAAACACATTTGGTTGAACTAAAACGTAAATTAAGCGACGATGTCACCGCGCTTAAGCATCTCGGCGAGAAATGCGACCAGCTGAATAAAAAGTACTTAAAAAAATCGGAGGAATATGCACCGCAGCACATACGCGTGAGTGTAGCATTTTCATTTTACTTCATTCAAACAATTAGTAACGATTTTTATTTAAATTCTTAAAGGAGTTGCTACAAATTGCCGCCTCAAATGCGGACAGCGATTGTGATCGACATGTAGAGCAATTTCTCAATGGTAAAATCGATGTACAAACATTTTTAAATAATTATACGCATTCAAAGAAAGTAAGCGCCGAACGCAAAGCCAAAGAAGAGCGCTTGGGTCACCAACTTAGCGCATTGGAACGTGCCGGCATTTAAAAAATAGCTAATATTAGACCAAAATGGTATTGTAAAGTAGCTACTAGACATGGCAAGAGCGAGTAGTTTCGAAAAGTCTGGCACACTCAAGAATTTCCAAAAGAGTTTGCAGAAGCAGATACAAGCCGTGCTCAGAAATGCATCAACAAAACATCAGTCGCTTTTATTACCACGCTTTATCAACTTGTTTGTTTTTATATTATAATTGATGGATCCAATATGCGCAACCCCGGTTAAATACCGAATTGAAATTTATGCCGATTTCGTTTTTGCCAAGAAGTGCAACCTTCTCTTTGCCCTCTACGCGCAAACACTAAGAAGAGGGCGATGAGAGGGCAACATTTTTTGTAGAAAGGAAAACGACATTAGTAGCGCAAAGAGGGCCGTTCCATCAGTTGTGTTTTCGAAAAAAGGGGCTGATGCCTTGGCTTGCTGGATTTCCAAACACAGCCACATCTAGTATTTAAAGTGACTTTGGAAAGCAGTTATTAATTTTCGGAAATAGAACTTTCTGATACAACTCTTTGTCTTTTTACAAGGTGAATGAAAAAAAATTTAACTTTCAACTATGTTACCAGACATTTTTATGCGTACTTCATATCAGGAGAATAAACTAATCTCAAGTACTTTTGATATTATTTCAACATTTTTATAATTGTGCACAAATTGATATCACCAAGGTGTATTAAATACATACATACATACACATTTTGAATATCACAGCACTTTCAAAAAAATGTGAGCATCTTTGTTGTAACAACACAGCTTATACAATTACCTATACTCGTGCTCCTCTTTCTCTCCGTTGAAGGGAATTGGCAGCTTGCTTTGGCCAGTTAAGGCATGGTGTGCCCATAGTTTGCTTACCCATCTGACATTGGTACATGTTTCTGAAAATTTGTTTTAGCTAATAATGTATGTAGAGCTACTAAACTGCCAAATAGTCGTGACTGTCTTACCTTGGAGATTGATTGTAGTCTGGCATTGGGATCAAATTCGCCAAATTGCTGAGAAATTCAGTTTTAGACAATTCCATATGAGTGGTAAAGCCAGGATAGAACTCTTTTAAGTCGATTGCAATATCCATATATACTTGCTCCAGTGAGCCAATATACTCGATTTTTCCAACAGCTAAATTTCGAACTGGTCGCATAAAACGTGCGGGTCCCACAAAGAGAAATAATCCTGGAAATTGTCCTTTTGCTTTATAAGGTATG